GAAATCCGGCTTTCTAGGCCAAACTAAGCAAAAGTAAGACGTCGCTTAGATCCAGACATTTAGAAGACATGTTGGGTCATATATCTATGGAAAAAAATGGGTATATCATTACGTAGGGTTCCAGCGACATGAAGAGGTTTTCGAAAGATCCGCTGAAAAACCTATCTTCAAAACATTTTTAACTTCAACTTTTGCTTGTGAAAAGATTGGGAAAATAGTCCTCTTTTCATTAGTGAAAACCGCAACTCTCTATCTATCATCGTCTTCGAGTTATCAAAGAAACGGTAACCTGCATTATATTTTGGTACGGATACTAGTCATGGTAAAAGTTAGTTGAACTGATCCTATTTTATATCGTGATATGACTGGAAAAATTAAAAACTAGCAATATTTGGAAATATTGTGAATATTTTGTGCAACTGGGTGAATGACAGTGGCGATGGTGCAGTTAAAATATCGATCATTTGACTTAGAATCACATCATTTTATTTTATTAATTAAAAAAATAAGTTTTATTCAAAATATGCCTAGATAGGATTAGAAAAAAAATTGATAAAAAATAATTGTTTGCTTTACAATTAATCCTCATAAAACAATTCACGGGGCTTTCGAAAATTTTCATATTGAACACGTTATCTGTCAACGAACTTACAGATGTTATCATTAAAAATAAACCAGTTAGTTTAACTGTGTATAATACTACTATGGAACGACAGAATCATTTTTTGATAAATAAAAAAGCTGCATGAAACTAGATCTACAATACTACCATCGTAAATAAAGAGCATATTACTATAATAATGAAGTTGATTGATTGTCGATAGTTTGTTGTTGCACTACTGTCATCGTATGATGTACGTTTCCAAGAAATATCAAATGTTGATGGATCACTGACATTCCAATTTTTATCTCGTGTATTTTGAAATATTTCTGAATCATTTAACTCTTCATCTTCAACAAAATCATCTATGAAAGAAGATGGTGATGATTTTGTAACGTTTGTACTAGATTTATTTGACGACGTAGTTTTAGAGATGCTAGTAGTTGTAATGATGGCTGAAATAGTTTTAGTTGGTTTTATTTTAAGAAATGGCATAATGTTGTCTCGTGTTGGTACTAAAATAAATATTTAGTATGAAAAGTAGTATAAACAGTTTGAAGAATATATAAATTTTATACTGGAATGATTAATGTTTAAACGATAAAAATATCCTCTCAACACTAAACTGCTAAATGTTTCATAATAATCTCTTTAAAGTACATATTACATTCTTTTAAGATCTAAAAAACTCACATGAAATTGAATTACATAAATTTGATCTACAGCATGTTTCAATTCTAACATCATCATCCAATGAAATATCTGATGGTGTACAGTAACGACTTGAACATGTTCGATGAAATTGATTATTTATATAACCAGCCTATAAATAAATAGTTTCACAATTAATTACTTCTTGTAATGTACATTAAAATACACGAACTCTCTCCAATTACTCAGATTGATTACGAATAACTCTCATCTTCACTCCTTACTTTCACTGACTTACATTTCAGCACTTAAAAACATTCACTCTCGAAATATTTACAGATGAACTCAGCACAGCGTATAGATTAACAAAAATTTAGAACACCGTACTAAAAGAAATAGCTGTGTACTCGATCTGTAACTTCCTTACACATACATGTACACGCAGAGTATCTATGTGAGTGTTACACACTAGTCTAACAGCTAAAACTCACCCAACATAATTGACGATCAATATTACAGAGTGTTTGAGAACTATCAGATGTAACACTCTTACAATCTTCTCCATGACAAGAATAACACAGTAATGTTCGTTCGTAATCTATAGAATATTCATTAATTGTTAATGAATTTGTTATATTTACAATAACAAACATTAAATAATAACATAGAAATAAGTAAATAAAGTTCCACTGCATCATGATAATTTTTTCAGACTTAAAACCACAAATACACTTAAAAAATCGATAGACGTTTTTTTGTTTTTTTTATCTCACACAGACACTCATACACTCTAACTATCTAAACTTAGTTCGTTCACATTACAATAATAATCTATATTTTTACCTATTTCATATTTTGTTGTGTTTTTTACTTAACATATTACTCAGCAGAATAAAGCTTTTAGTGGTATGGAGGAGGGAGGGGAAAAAAAAATTATGATATATTTTCTTTTTCTTCTTTCCCTATAAATACATTAAAATCGACCGACCGTATAAACGCAAAAGATGCTCATTGCCATTCGACTACACATCTCCACTAATCATTATCGTTTTTTTCTCTCTCCACAATATGTTTTTGATTGAAAAAAAACCTATCATGTTGGTATTTTATATGATTTTATAACATAATGTACATCATACATATGTGGTCTTCAACATCAGCTGACAGCTGAACCCTTTACTCCCCGGCAGATGATTTTGAAAAGTGAACTTGAAACAAGCGTACTCTCTAAAAAAAATCCGTAGCTTACAAAACGAATAGCGGTTTTGGCATTTGCTCCTAATAGAAACCGATATCCGTATCGTACGGTCCTGCATAACCGTTTCGCAGAATACGTTTCAACGTTTTT